TGCTCGCTACCGGTTTGGAACCCTTCGTGCGCGAGTTCTATTCGTTTTACTATACATATTTATGTACCTATTGTAATATTTAGGGGCAGATTGGGACCATTCGTACACTTTTTAGTCAATGATTTTTAAAATATTGATAATCAAAAGATAAATTACTCAATTACTTATTAAAACATAAAGCATACTTTCTGCTCCTTATTTAAAAAGTTCAAATTCGATATCTTGTATAATATATCAAAGGATTGAATTTTACTAAAAACTAATGAAATGTCCGAATCTACCCCTATTAAGGGGTACAATCGTACATGGGCCGGGGAACATTCAGACAGTGTGGTAACTTCATATATGATAAGTAAAACAACAAATGAATTAAAAAAATCGTTTTCATTGATCTTAAACTTATCAACGATGTAATAAACTAAACGACATATAGGCTTAGAGTCTAACTATATTTTTACGAAAACTGTGCATCCATTCTACATCAGCGAAGCCAGTTTCATAACAATTTTGCAAACATTTATATTTCAAAACTTTATCATAATCATTTGATAGTGTTGTGACTTCCAATATCGTGAGTCCGAAATGTGTTTATGAACTTTTTCAATTGGTTAGTCTTTGCAGTAAAACAATTTACTATTAAAAACTCCTTTTACAGACGCAAAAAACTCATTTAATTAATATTGGGAACGTGTCTGCTTTTTCTTCTTAAAATTCCGATCATTTTTTCAAAATTTTCTGATATAATAATAGAAATTGTTAGCGGGGGTACACACATACGCGTACGAATGTGCCCTTCCTGGAAATGTACGAACGTGCCCCGAAGATCAATAATAAAATTATTTTTTCTAACACAAAACCCACGTAGAAAAATACACAATATATATATATATTATTATTTTAATCGTATTCACTTACGATTAAGCAATAATCCAATTCAATTTGACGTATGATTAAAGCACGGAAGATCCAAAAACATTAACAAAATATTTACTATGAGCATGCCAAAACACTTTAAGTTCTCTAGTTTCGCTTGCAGTGACTGCATGTGTGGCTAACTTCGTGGACAACTGGCAGTCGCCGGTGCCTATCCACTAACACAAAGTCGTAATAAATAAGCTTTTCTACAAGATGTAGATGTAGTGACTGTATGAAGGTTCCCCGTGTACGAATGGTGCCAAACTTCCCCTAGATAATTTAGAGAATCGGAGACAATAGAAGTATTCCTGATTATTTTTTGTCGAAAGAATATACTTATAATACATTTGTATAATTAATTGAGAAATTAATTATTAAATTTAATCAATTTTGCATTCACGGTGCTTTAATGATAAAATCTCTAATGAAACATGATTATAAATTTCACCACCTCCAGGTATCTTGAGATAGGACTCGAACCCTCTTGCAATCCGAGCGACTGCTTTAACCAAGAGCTACAAGAAACCCAAGAGAACTTGTGAAGTTTTTGTTAATTACTGGTTAATTAGACATGTCAGTCGAAAATTCTTCAAATTTACTTATTAAGCCGCGCGTTACAACAAGTGTTCCATTCCAACCCTACTATTTTTAAATACTAATAAATGAACCGCATTTGTTACCTACGACGAAAAATGAATACCGTTTGTCAGGTTAGTTGCAAGCTCAGCAAGTAGATTGGAATCTGGTTCTGCACCTTAACGATATCGAAACGAAAACTTAGCCTAAGAATAATGATGATCGATGTTTGGTGTTGTAACGCTGGTATAATTCAACACAGCTTCTTACGAAACGGGATGAGCATTACTGCAGATGTATACTTTAAATAAAGACCTCAACACAATGATGGTGTGCTCGTCTCTAACCAGCTTTGGTCAATCGTTTTGTTCCTGTAGGACAATTCTACTAATATTAGCATAATTATGGAAAGTCAATGACGCATCATCTACAAACATCTACGAAACAGTGGCTGTTATTAGATCAGAAAATAATTAGATATCCGTCACTGTCTGTCAGTAGATTTGTGAGGAAGACATTGCACTAATAATCAGTGGCGGACTAACCCGGTCGGGGGCACGGGGTAGCATCAGGGCCGGACATACAACGCTCTCCAATCGAGGCAGAAACTTGACATTACGTTTACACATTTTATACATATTAAACATTTGTATACGTGAAAGGGGCAAATATAATCTTGCTTTATTCATCACGTCAACAGCTTATTAATGTCCCCATTGCTGGGGCTTAGGTCTTCGCTATTTATGGAATCGAATAAAATCGTACAGTGCGAATTAGTAGGTGGTAACGACTGCAGATGCGGCCGTAATCAATGGCATAACGTGCCTTCCGAAGCACGAAGGGGCGCAATATAATAAATTTTTGGTCACCCATCCCATGACCGGCCATTGCGAAAGTTTCTTTATAACTATATCGCAGACCGGGCGCTCTAACCATTGCGCCATCGAGCTTCCCAATCTTGCTTTATGCCGATTGCTATATAATGAGTTTTTGAGTGTAGGATTGTAAATTCCGAAACGACTAAACTCAAAGCTTGAAAAAATCGAGAAATAATTAGACAAGTCTGTTCCATGTGTCAATATCGCAGAAATACCAATAAGGAGTCTATTGTTTTTTAAAATGAATCGTAAAACACATTTAACTATAAAAAGATGCCAGTACTATTATTGTGTAATAGAATGGAACTCGAGGTTCACCGCGATAAGATTCTGAGATTAAACTTGCAGAGAAAATTGTATTTTATCGCCACTTATGTATGTCGGTAATGCAGGCTACTATTATCATAGTACCTGTTTGTGATAGTTTATTTTATAAATGCGATTGAGTTGTAATCAGATACAATAAAAGAAACAATGGAAATTATTTTGTTGCACAAACCACACGAAGGTATTCAGCTGGTTTTATCAGACCGATCACTCCGACTTCGCTCCTCGGGGCAGATCCTTGCGGTAGAAGAGTCCTGATTTGAGACATCAAGACCATTATCCCTGCGTTGAAAAAATAAACTAAATATAATTTTAAGCTTATCAAATGGTGAATTCAATTCTGTAAATAAATACGAAAAAAGAAGTATTAATTCTATTTGAATTCGATTCGGATTCTAATTATAGGAAGAGTATGTGCCATTTTCGTTTTGGAGGAATCTTAGGCATTATCTTAGGTCATCTTACATTTACTCTTTAGATTAGCTTTAGGTTTAGTTTACGTAGAATTAGTTCACGTGTACCAAGCAGAATTGAGTTTAAAAATGATTAACTAGAATCTGTCATATTATTACAATGAATTACCTATGAAAATTTAATGTCGTATTGAAATGTTATTATTTTTTTTCCTCGCTTTGTATTATTCAGACGATCTGTCTAGACGTTCTTAAAATAAATAAACAACCCACCTACCGCCCTAGTATTCCACCATCATAATTTGAATAGAACTAATAATGTACTTAGATCATAGACACGTGTTTGCTTTTACTCTTCGATTTCATCTTTCAAAATCACAGCTGATTTTGTCTATTTTTATTTATGACTTAAAGGTTAAATATTTACTATTAATCAACCTGTTAAAATATGCCAATATACTTAGTGTAATGATATTATAATTCAAGTTACTAAATAATAAATAAACAATTATTGAATTGATGCTATTCGACATGAAAATCATTTATTTATATGCTTGAAAAATAGCCATCGATATCTATTAGTATCAAAACCAGTGGCTATCGCATCGAATCAGTTATAAGGTGTGCGGTATCCCGGACTGTCTACGTACACTGGCCCCAAAATTGCTGTGTGTAAGCAATTTTTCTTTATTTAAATTATGTACGTCTTTACCAAAATATTAGCCATTAACATATGATAAGGTAGCCGTAGGTTATGTATATTTAAGAAAACGCGGACGAAGTCGCTGGCGGCCACTAGTAGATTTAACAGACTAGTGGCCGCTAGCGACTTCGTCCGCGTTTTCCATAATTACTTCGCTCCTAATAGTTGCAGCGTGATGTTATATAGCCTAAAGCCTTCCTCAATAAATGGTCTTCACAATATTTCTTTTATGGTTTTCACAATCCAACACAAACTTCAACGAATTTTTCAATTCGAACCAGTAGTTCCTGAGATTAGCGCATTCAAACAAACAAACTTTTCAGCTTTATAATATTAGTATAGATATACTGTAGGTATAGTTTAATAATTATGATAAATCTAAAGTTTAAACCTAATATAGATCTTTAAAACTTTCCCTTTTTAAACATTTAAAAAGTCAATATCGTAAGCAACGACATGTTAACTCTGATATTATCCGTTCAGTATAAGTACAACTAAAAATCAATAGAACCACGCTTTGTTGGTTCAGATGAGGAAAGAAAACCGATGAAAAAAACTGATTTATGTGAAAGTGGAAGAATGTAGAAGCCACGGAAGGCTAAGGCACACCTTTCACGATCAAATCGATCGCGTATTCTTGGAAGGTGAGGTCAGACGCCATAAAAAGCGGAGAGTTGTATGTAAAGAGTAATGAAAGTCAAGGAAGCGAAACTATATGAAAAGACCGTGCCTCATTGCCTACGCCTAAAGTGATACGGCTCAAGTAATATACTGGATAATAACTACTTACTACCCTCAAGAGCTTAGCGCGGTTACAGAAGGGCCGGTGCAAGCCACATTTGTTTATTCTTTATATGGTCGTTTTCGTATTTTCTTTCGCTGTCACCATTTATTCCTCATTAGCACATTACTGGTTATTGTTTACTTAAAAGTATCTTACCCCAAGATATCTGGAGCTGGTAGATTTTTCAAAGCATTTTTCGAGATATTTATCAGTATAGCATTATAAATGTAAAATTAATCAGATATATTACGTTAAACTAGTTATATTTTTTTAATTTCCTGTTATTTATGAAGCATCTAGGTTAATAGGTTATTAATGCAGCCCGGAATTAATGCAGCACTAACTTATCTACAATTTCATTTGAAATATAAATCTTTCATAGAAAATTGCAAGAAACTGGCCAGATGCGGTATATGCGTCGAAGCAACAACAATAAATGGCGTCCGGCAGATGGCGGCAGTTCAGGAAGGTGGTGCAGCGACGACGGGTATTCGAACAAGACCAGCTGGAGACCAGTAACCTGAAGAGGTACAGTGTCTACCAGCAAATGATTTCCATGAAGGTGATGGAGAAATGTTAAAGAAGGTAGCTGTTGATTGTGAGAATGAGAATTGAATAATACTACAAAAGAGTAGTAGCTGTTTAGTTCTAGCTTTGAGAACATCTTTTTGTATTTTTGTAGTCTAGGAATTTTATCTTATTACATGTCTATCTAAATTGCCGAACCACCTATGCGAGACTACCAAACTTTTTAAGAATTTTTGCATAAACAATTTTTCATAGGTACAAATAATAGTAACATTGTAGTAGGTAAGTTAATTTGTTAAATTTTTCTGTTTTCTTCCCAAAAGTATTCATATGGTGTTCACGTCATCATATACCTGACCAGCTACATGAATATAGAAAGGTATGGAATATATTATAGCGACCTCCATGGTCGAATGAAACGCACATCGGCTTTATTTTCCGGTCAGTAGTATAGTACTAATTATTCCATATTGAAATGAAATGTTCAAATTGGGACTTGAGTAAAACACAGTCGGTTTCTGAACTGAGTAAAGTACAAATTCTCAACTCATTTTTCTCAACAACTTAATTTTTTTAAGTTTTACAAGGAAAAAAGTCTTAGTTTTATCAAACTGCTATCAGCTTAACTTTAAATTCTCAATTCAGTAACCGGATGTTAGTCTCATATTTATTTATAATGGAGTCAGGTATATAAATCATAACAATAAAATGTTAACAAGTATTAGAAAATGATCCTCTTATGGTGCAGATGTTTGACCGGTTGGGATCTAACAGCACTGGGTTTGGGCAGCACCCTCGGAGTCGGTGTGTACGTGTTGGTGGGTTCAGTGGCTCTGCATTTGGCTGGACCATCCATCGTCCTCTCCTTCTTGGTGGCAGCTGTCGCATCTCTGTTTGCAGGTAATTATTCATTTGATTTCCATACAATGTCTCTCAACGTAGATTTGCGAATAAGTGACTTAGTTTTAAATTTAACCAGATCTATCTATCTACCTATACCTTCACGCCGTATAGGTAGGCATTAATTAGATATTATTACTTAAATCAGTTTGGGAAATTTTGTAGGCATTAGAATTGTAAAAATACGAGAAGATAAAGTAATAAAATTTTTTCTTACGAGATGGCAATTTCATCATATGTAGTGTGTATATTAATGAGTGGTGATCTTTGCCGATTTTCAGAAAGCAATTAAAAATTTTGTCATAAATAAGTTAGACTTGTAGGTTTTGAACTGGATTTTCCCATTAATTTTGCTATTACTGCGGCTTAGGCTCGGGATGGCAAAATATAAATAAAGAAAATTGAGGTTAATCACATTTATTTTTTGCCCCTTTATATATGGCAAGTGAAGTCTCTATGCTATATAAAATTTTACCGGCTCAACAGGATACCACTGATGTTGCACTAATAATGATTCAAAAGCCTAAAATAAATCTAAAAGTTTGCAAAGAACTGTCTGCATAATGTACGTCAACGTAGCGTTTATCTTGCTCTACGTGTATGCAGAACTGTTTACTTTGAATCATGTACAATTTTTAAAATCTTAGTTAAATCGTTTGTCTCGAGCTTTTCGATCTTTGTGATTATTTTAATGTAGTTAGTTCAGTTGCATTCTTTTGTAAGCAGCATATGTCAAAATATACTATATTTATTACATAGTTTGCCTTAGGCATCTTATGGATACATACGGTATCGGTATACGGTAATGTCCTGAGTTTGATTCCCGCTCAGGTCAATAAAGAAAAATAAACTATAGCATATTTTCCTCGAGTCTGAATATTGTCTCACATTAGTTTCTTTCAGGTTTCCTTTAAATATACAAGCGGTGGAGCTACTTAATTTAATATTATTTAGCTAATATTAACTCCCAAACAGATTAAAGATATATTTTTACAAAGGTTGCCTGAATTGCCTGAACATTGATGAAAATACGCTCTGTAGTAGCGAAAAGTAACAAGAGTTTGAAAAATTCGTCAAACCCGTTAGGTCCTAGGTAGAGCTAGGTTAGAGCAGTCGCTCGAATCGCGAAAAATCATGGGTTCGAGACCCAATCTCACAGTGCCAGGGAGAAAGTGGATTGTTTAAGCATTTTTCAATAAGAAAATTTTCAGTATAGTATAATGAATGCAAAATTAATCAAATATAATAACTTCTGAAGAATATAGTCAGATGATTTCGAGAAAAATAAACACCTGTGCTAATTTTGCAGCCGTAAATATAAGGATTTCTGTAGAAATGATGAGTAAGCTAGATAAAAAGGAAAAATTACAAGATTCTTGTAAACACTGCGCCTGGAACAACATTTGTTGTATTTAACTTGATCTGATAAGATTATACAAATAGCTGCAAATTTATAAGGATACTAGCTGACCCGACAGACTTCGTCCTGTCAAAAAGATTTGTAATGTGGCAGTTTTTTTGCCTACGTATTTAAAAAAATTCTCCTGAACAGAACCGTCACCCTGGTGATAGGGCGTTGTGAATAAAAAATAATTAAATAAAACATATATAAGGATTTAAAAGTAAGTAATCGCTTTATTGTTAATCATGTGAATCATAATTATTATTGCAATGTAATAATAGTAATAGTATTAAATATAGAAAAAAGAGATTTTTATGATCATAAAAACACATTACACACAACAGCATTATAAAAGTAAACTATTCGAATTAAAAAAATATATAAACATTCTCAAGGAAAAATGCTGGAAGAATCCATCTACCTATACCCCGGAATGGGACTCGAACCCATTCGCGATCCAGGGATTGCTCTAACCAATGAGCTATCTAGGACCCAACAGCTTTGCTACTACAGAGCGTATTTTCATCAATGTTCCGGCAATACATGTAATGACGTGGAAACTGATGCATTTTATCTCGCGTGCCGAAACTAATACAAAAGAAACGCGAGTTTCGGAACGCGACATTAAACTCCTCCAACTATGTATTCTGTGCTCCAACGCACACACGCACATTGTTTTGATAGATATGATCTTTGACGTTAGGAACACACCTACATTGCTTAGACAACAGTGAGTGCTTGTAATTTAATATGAACTTTATACCATAGCAATAAAGCTCAAATTGACTACGTTTTAGTTACAAATCATTTGTATGGGAAAAAGAAAAGGGCTATTTTTAGGGTTTTTCCAGCAATAATTCTAATTTTTCTCGCCGTAAAAACCATCCTTGAACTTCAACGAACATTTTAAAAAAAGATTTGGCCAAATTGGTCAAGGCGTTGTTGAGTTATGCGCTTACCAACACATTTTGCGATTCATTTTTATATATATAGATTATATTATTAACAATGAATTGTTCTGTGATTGATCAATCAAGAATGTATTAGTCTGTCAATTATCATTATGATCAAGTACTTAATCAAATATTATATTTAATCAATTTTCCATTCACAATGCTATACTAAAAAGTATTCAATGCTATACAAAAATCCTTAAAAACCACACTGGCACTCTAAACTCCACTTTGTTTTTCATATCTCAAAATGTATCTTGGCGCCATTATTATTAAATGATTATGTTATCATTATGAGATCATACTTTTATTTTTTCTCTATTTATAATGTATTGATTCAGATCAATATATTGGCATGGTTTTTGTGATTACTCCCATTAGAGCTGGTGAGTGTCTTGCTCGTTCTTCTTATCACCCAAAAGACGTCCTGAACGAGTGGTAGGGGAAAAATGTTGGACGATTCAAAAGTACTTTTAAGAAGTCTATTTGAATACAGATTATTTTGACTTTGACTTGACTCTGGGACTGGAACCCATAACCTTTGTAAAAATATTTATTTACACCAGATTGGAATTTTGTTAGAAAGTTTCACGAGTTATTTTCTTGTGTATGTCCAAAAAAAAATTTATTATTATTATGATGAAGGGTATCTATTTCAGGGTTATGTTATGCGGAGTTCGGTGCCAGAGTGCCAAGGGCTGGTTCAGCATATATCTACACGTACGTGACTGTCGGCGAGTTGTTGGCCTTTCTAGTTGGTTGGAACAACATCCTCGAGTCTGCCTTCGGTCAGTTTATTATTAGTACATGTCTCACCTAACGAGCTATAGTATGTGGGCATGGTTTAATATACTATCGGCGTAGAAAAAGTTTAAGAATTCAGTACTACTTATTATGATTCACTTATTGCAAGTCTTTGCGGAAGATTTTTGCATTATGAGCACACAAATGGCTGAAGGCGATTTAATGGAATGCGCGTATGCCACCTAGGTTACAGGCCGTTCCAATATGAGGAAATTAGTGATATGAATGTCAGTGCACTATTTCTTAGCTATACCTACTCAACTACGTTTGAATCCTTAACCAAATCATTTCAAACGTAGTTTTAATATTTCAATCGTAGTTTTAAAGCTTCAGTAGTAAGCCGTTATTTTCTATAGACGATATTATTTTCTCAAGCATACTGACTATCGGCGGTTTATCCAATAGGTCCAAAAAATAATTATTTTTACTTAATATATATTATATTGAACTAAGTATAATGTCTTATTGAATGATATGCAAAGTTGTACTATGAATTCTAATTTTCTATATATACTAACTAAGCCAAACATATATTTTAAAGTACCAGTGAAAACAAGTTTAACTCTGATGATATTGCAGGAACAGCGAGCGTGGCTCGAGGGTTGAGTATGTACGTGGACACAATGACGAACAAGACCATGTCAGATTGGTTCACGGCCGCACTACCAGTCGGAACAAATCAGCTGTCTCCGTACTTCGATCTCTTCGCGTTCCTGATCGTTATTCTTTTAGGAGGTAATGTTGGATGCTCTTCCCCGTTCCTAGTTTAATTTACTTTCAAGTCTGTTAATTTTGATTTTGTACAACGGCTTCTTTTGGCAATCCAGATTTAGGATCGGTGCAAATCTGATGGAATATCTGTTAATTGTGTCACAGAAGTATGCGTTAGCACACAAATTGATTATCATCGAGTATGGAAGGTTGTATGTGATTGATATTTATCAGTACTGACGTTTCGCGACCAACGATATGCCACGCATCTTCCGTTAGATATGCACTGACCTCTAAAAGACTTGTATTTGCTTTGCAAGAAGAAAACAAAAACAAAAATCGTGCTAACAGTTGTGTTTTTGAATCAATAAACAACACAATAACATCATTGTTTTCTTTGACTATAGGTTTTGCATATTGTTCATAACAGTTAGACAGTAGTTTGGAATTTTCGGATGTTTGTGTTTTAGTACTTTTGGCGTTCGGAGTACGCGAGTCGTCAATGGTGAACAACGCATTAGCTTTAGTCAACACTCTTGTTATCATTTTTATTGTCTTCGCCGGAGCGTTTAAAGGTAATTATTATTACTTTATGTGCTTAATTCGATATTGTTATAAGCATTTTCTTTATTACTTGAGTTCTTTTTTACTGCTTTCCAAATATCAGAATTTACATAATTAAGTACATATTTTATTTTTTAATTTACAATAAATATCGAACAGTGCACTTGATAATATGGATAATCGGTGCCAATGTGAACAGGTAGGTGTTTATAACTGAAAATTCAGGCGATTTTACAGTATATTCAAAATAAATAAATAATTTACATGTCATACGAAATCTCATGATGACACCACAAACTTTAACAATAATCTATGTGATGAAGTTAGGTGATAGAGATCCGGTCTTTTTCTCAACAGTGTCGCTTCCAACACTTCATTAACTTTACAGAAATTTCCAATTATGTATCTACATTAATAATTGTAGTAGCTCGGTGGCGTAGTGTTTAAGTGCCGCGGCCCGCGATCGTTGTCGTTAAGCAACTTTCGCAGGGGTCGGTCACGGGATGGGTGACCAAAAAATTATTATCTCGAGCTACTCCGTGCTTCGGAAGGCACGTTAAGCCGTTGGTCCCGGCTGCATTTGCAGTCGTTAATACCCTCCAATCCGCATTGGGCCAGCGTGGAGGGTCATGGCCCATCCTCCTTAACCATCCATAAGGAAGGCCTGAGCCCCTGCAGTGGGGACATAAAAGGGCTGATGATGATGATGATTAATAATTGATGTTTAACGAAGAAACTATGATTTTCCAGCGAACAGTGATAATTGGAAGATTCCAGCCGATGAGGTTCCCGAGGGCTTCGGATCTGGAGGTTTTTTTCCGTATGGTGTAGTGGGTATGCTCAGAGGCGCGGCCATATGCTTCTATGGATTTGTTGGCTTTGACAGTATCAGTGCGTCTGGTGAGGAGGTCAGTAGATATCGAGATGAAATTACTCTTAAGTATTTATTTATTTTGTGGTAAACGAGTACTTGCTCTACATTATCATCTATATCATATCTACCAGTGTTTCTTAGCATTGCAATTGGTTCGCAGAACTATCATCGTTAAGTGATAGTGATTTGTAAGGAGTATGCAGTCACAAAAATCGTATTTTTTATATATCAGAATTAAAAAGATGTTTATCTATTTATATATAGATGATTTTTGCATGCGATTTTTCTTTATTTACATTTGGGTGCTGCTTATAAAAGAATGTCGATGGTTCATGATTAAATAGTATTAAATGGTCCTTAATAACTTAAAAGATTTAAGTCCGTATTCACTAAATTTACGAGTCACCCAAATCTGTCGCCTACATATTTAGGAATCGCCTAAGGTAAAAATGCATTGCACCATTGACTAGGAACCACCTAACGAAATTAAGCAATGTCTTAAGTTATGATATTCGTTATGCGGTGCCTTGTGCTAGGCATTTGAATTTATGACAGGTCATAAATATGTGAAGGGATAAAAGAAAAAAATATTTATTTGACATTAAACTAATCTACTCAGGTCATCCGTAATATTAGGCGTTACCTAGTTAAGCTATGCCTTGTTCTAGGTCAGTGGAAATGGATGTTAGAATTACTCATCGGCATAATTTGTTTCCAAATGTTATACTCAAGATAATTTATCGGTTTAATTTTTTTACAAATACATGACTACATTATCAACGCATAATTAGGGTTATATTTAATTTTGTCAATAAATAGGGGGTATATCATGCTATTTTAGACACAATAATTTAATATTATATTTCTATATATTATTAATCATCGTGATCTTTTTCCAGGTGAAAGAGCCACGACGCACCATCCCATTCGCAATATTGACAGTCCTGACAATAGTATTTATCGCATATTGCAGTGTTGCCATTGTAGTTACTATGATGGTTCCGTATTTTCTTCAGGTTAGACACTTTAATGATTTTTCTATCATATTTAATTATATTAACCTTTATCAATAGTCTCGTATGAGATTATAACCCTCTTTGCTTTATTGGAGTCTAAAACAAATATTATACAATATCTACACATAACTATATATATACACGAGATTTATTTATTTTATTTTGGTACAGCAACAGAAAACAAATCAAGATCACATGCTTACAATTAGGCATGCACACGACACTTAAATAGTACATGTATTATCAGTAAATATGTCAATGAATGAATAATAAATAAACTTAAAAATAAACAAGTTCAATGATAATAGAAAATTAAATCAAATATTTAGCATAATTATTGAGAAATTTAGAAAAAGAAAATATAATCAAAATAATTATAACAACAGTTATTACAATTAAGAAACATCATAATTTAGACTTGCATATTCTTATGTAGGAATGATAGGAGAGTGAAAATATATCCAAATCGTCACACAAATTATTATAAGCTCTACACATTCTGAAAATAGGGTCATTGTATGTTACATTATTATTGCATATTGGTAGAGAGAAAAGTTCTTGCACCCTTTTGCTACCACCCACTTTAAATGGGAAATGGCTTAACAGATCTTCAGTGTCACATACGGAGTTAATAATTTTGTAAAGCGTCGATAAGTTAGCTGCATCTCGTCTTGAGATACTTTCAAATCTAAAGTTTGTCTGGTGGGCATAATCCCACTCTTTCAATAATTATATTATGTATGTATGTATCAATTAATGTTAGTATTTCTTAACATATTATGTTTTCTTTTTGTATTTCTAATTTTGCACACAACCCTCTATTTCTGGTGATGGTGATTTGTAAAATTTATCTTTGGTAAATGGGTTGCCTGGAAGAGATCGCTGTTAAGCGATAAGGCCGCCTACTGTACAACATCTATTATATTGTTATATCTATTATATGTGTCAAATCAATAAATACATTGCTGAGATCCAAAAGTAAGAAGACAAAGCCCTTGAATTATGGAAATCGGAAGCAACTAAGGGTACCACAAAATCAAGACAATATTGAATATATATGTTCTGCATTGATTCAACCGGAAATCGAATATGAGACATCTTAGATGGCGAGCCTCGGAACCAGCGCATGAGATGTTCTGCAAAAGGAGCAAAAAAAAAAAACGAATATGGAGTTTATGGTTTCTTAGAGACTAGTTGGATAAAATCTTGTTACTAGATAGATGATCCGCATTTTTGGCTTGAATTTTCGATAAGATATTTTTCTCTAAAAAGTTTTGATAACGTATATTATGATGGACGAGTGCTTCTCTCAGGATACAGCAGCGGCAGTAGCAACAGCATTCACATTTGTGGGTTGGGACTGGGCCAGATGGGTGGTTACAGTTGGTGCTATATTCGGAATCTCTGCCAGGTGAGGGTTTAAAAACTATTAATGTATATTCTATGTAAAGAGATGTAACAATTTAGACAAATTTCATTGGTTGTTGAAAAAGTGTATGACAAAATGAGTAAGAAATCTAAGGCTTTAAAATCAGTGAACACGTATGAAATGAAAGATCATCTTGTCTTGTGATGTTCTATCGCACTGGATAACAGTTTGAAACTGCCAACTTTTATGAATTATCTATGAAAGTTTAGTGATGTGGAGAGATATTGCATGTGCCATAAGATAAATCAATAAAAAAATAATCAATAACAAAGACTCAAAAATGGTCCTGAGGAACTTCTTTAATTCTTTCTTTAGCTTGTTCGGTGCTATGTTTCCACTCCCACGTCTCCTTTACGCGATGTCATCGGATGGGTTGCTGTTCCATTGGCTATCACACGTATCAGCATCCAGACAGACACCAGTTATCGCTACCGTGCTACCAGCTGTCATTATAGGTAACATTTTCCCATCAGTGAGTTAATCCATTATTCAGAGTTGAGTCAAAATGCATGTAAAATAGTCTGACTGCAATTTCTGAAATACAAATATCAACTAAGTACTGTGACGGGTTCGATGCTTGGGAAAATAATAAAAGGCTAACTAGCTTGAGAACGGATTTATTTATGGCATAAAGTTTAAAGAAAAGAAACCGTAACAAACAAAAAATGAATATAAATAAAATCAGATCATAAGATACCTAAATATAAAATTAAAATTACCAAATAAAACGAATACATACCCCTTTTGGGTTTCTCGATAAAAACTTTAATCGTCCAAGTTACAGAATACAATTTTATTTCTATTTTAATTACTCATTTCTTTATTATTAACAATCATTAATAAAATTTTATGTTTAAATTTATATGATTTATAATATGTGTGATTTACATGTTTATAACAGATAATTTTTTTACGAACTGACATCTATAAAGAGTATATTGGATTAGTCAAAATTTCGAATTACAAAAGATGAATAATAAAAAAAAATGATGTTGAATAACAAAGACAAAAGTTTGCATGCTGAAACCTAGGGCAAAATAAACGGTGGTACAACACATTGTTACAGTACGAAATCAATGCATAAAACGAGCTTATCTATATTGCCCCAGGTAATTTTAAAGTGATATAGTAGGCAGTGTTTGGCTACCATAAATACGTTACAATATGCTTTGTATCAAGTCTATTTACTTATCCCACATAGATAAATAATTGCGAATTTTTATTTACCTACATAGCGAGTGATTATTTAAAAATTTGAAAATACAGGAGCACTATCTCCACCCTCTGTACCTCTGCAGACGTGACATCCGAGACTCCTAAATAATTTACTAATCTGACCGACATTTGTTTCATTTCCTTTGCTGTTTTTTATTTAGATATTTAAATAGGAAATCTCACTCCTGCACCATACGACTCTAACGACGTTTGTGAATCTTAATAGGAATGTTTGAAACGGCGATTACCAGAAGGCCTACGCTGTTTCCCCAAAACAATTCTAACAGTTAATATGAATTCAAAATAAGGTGTTTTTCGATAATTCACGACACCACGTGCATAGGCGCTACCTTAATGCTTAGATAATTTTCACGTATACGATTTTAATAAAATTATAAGAACGTCCGAAATAGACTCTCTAATATTGTGTGGATAAGAAAGCGGCTTTTTAGAGGAAATGTAAGATAATACAAATTATTCTACGTCCCATTGAAAATATTTATGAGGAGGTTATTCCCGAAGCATAATGGAAACAAGTTTCAACTTTGTCATATGAGATAAGCGATTATATATGATAATTTGCCCGTTTTTTGATGCAGCGCTTCTGGCGGGGCTTTTGGAGCTGGAGCAGCTGGTGATGATGATGTGTATCGGCACGCTATTCGCTTACACTATAGTTGCTGTTTGCATCATTGTACTTAGGTAAACGATACCATTTATTATCGTTTAGTTTCAATACTGGCGATCAATTTAATTTTTAACAGATTTCAAAATTTAAAAGGAGGAGGTTATATGTTTGACGGAGGTTATGTGTTTTTTTTTACACGTAGAAAGCTGAAGATCATTTTTTTATTAATCAAATGACAGTGCAGCTCATCTTAATACTCAGTACAAATTCTAGAGGTGTAAGTAAATATCGTTACATATAGCCTAGTCTTAGAGATATGTCATAGACAAATATCTTTACCACATAAGTACTTATATGGACATGGATGAAGAATATTTCATCGACATAAGCCTTAACAGGTAACAGGAGTAGCTCGGTGGCGTAGTGGATAAGCGCCGCGGCCCGCGATCGTAGTCGTTAAGCAACTTTCGCTAGGGTCGGTCACGGGATGGGTGACCAAAAAATTATTATCTCGAGCTACTCCGTGCTTCGGAAGGCACGTTAAGCCGTTGGTCCCGGCTGCATTTGCAGTCGTTAATACCCTCCAATCCGCATTGGGCCAGCGTGTAGGGTCATGGCCCATCCTCCTTAACCATCCATAAGGAAGGCCTGACCCCTGCAGTGGGGACGTAAAAGGGCTGGTGATGTGAAGCCTTAACAGTATAACCTTAAATAAATATTGTAGTATGTGCTACTGAATGTATTGAAGAACGTGTTTAAACTTACCATTTAGTCCCAGCATGGACTGGCAGATATTAATGACTGCATGTGCACCCGTGACTAAGCACGAAGAAACATTTTGGACCGACCATCCAATGGCAGGCCTCATCAAAAGTTAAACTGGGCTCTCCTTGCAGCATACCGGTTTCGTCCAATCCGCGTGAGTTGAACCGTAACTGGTTTTATTAGGTAGGCCAATCACATTCAACCTACCCTTTTCAGGGCAGGGTGGTTGGAGTGCTCTGGTTTAAGGCTCAAGGTGCATTTCCCCTGCGTTATCAAAAGTTCCTTACATACGCAACCGCAGACCGAACTGGAAAAAAAATACGTTTAGTGAAAACAAACTTTATGCAGGTATAGATCGAGTGAGGTCGCAGAATCAGCATCAAGTTCCATCAAGCAGATAATGGGTTGCTCGGAGAGGACGCCTTCGAAGACCACTTTCAATATTGTGATAATTATGTTAATTATCTACCGTAAGTTATTTTTATAATGTCATTTTATTATCCGCAAACAAAATACTGGTGACGAAACATAATAAAGAATATAAAATGTTTTTTTTTTATACGAGTATTTTAAGATATAATATATATAAATAATAATAAAATTGTTTATTGACTTCATGATTACATTTTTTACATGAATAGCGGTACTATGCTTAGTTATCTTAGGGTTACAATAAAATACACAGCTGGTGCTTAAAAAAGGAATACCTGAGCATTAAGCACCAGCAAATTTACAGATTCTCAAAGTAAACTAACTTGGTTACGGGAATGCATATGTATATAAGATTTGCTCACTGTTTTTATTTTTAACTCATTCGAGTGTGTGTGTGTGTGTGTGTGTGTGTGTGTGTGTGTGTGTGTGTGTGTGTGTGTGATAGTATGTGTATGCATGTTTGTAGGTGTGTGTGAATTTTATGTTAAAGGATAAATGAGTGATTCTGTTTCTTCATATGTGAGATTCAAGAGGTATTTTATCACCATCTTTTTACAGTTATAATTACATTTATCGTAAAATGTGAGTGATTTGTTTAACTTATTATACAAAAAGCGTCCAAGGAACAAAAAAAATTTTTGCGCAAAAGCTGTTTTGCATATAGTGTCATATGGGATTCTTTTTAGCCTTTTGCTCCGTGATAGATTAAATAGAATGGGTAAGCATGATGATACAGCGTGTTGCCTTAAGATTATTTGTAAGATAAACAGTTGCCGCACAGTAAGTACTTCACAATATTTATATAAGTCACTAGTTGGAAAGCGATAGGATTGGAAAGTACAGACTTTTAAAACTGCCCTCTGAGCGCGCTCAAGTTTGATTAAGTCAGTTTTTGCAGCACCACCCCACGAAGAAATGCAATATCCTAATATACTCTGTCCGAGCGCACTATATACCTGTCTCATCGTGTTTGAATCAGCAATGTGTCTTAGGTGCTTAAATACATAAATAAGTTTACGTATTCTTCCAGATAAGTTGTCTATATGGGCTTTGAACGAGAGTTTGTTATCTAAAGTAACTCCTAAGTAACGGGTGGTTGTTGTTTGAACGATTTCGGGACAATCACATTGGATGCTGCACCCTGCACGAGCATGATACTTGATTTTTAAATTTTTTATATTAAAACAACTTTTGTTTCTAATTCTAAAGGTCATAAATGTGGTCTTATCTAAATTTAATGTGAGCCTATTGAATGACAGCCACCTTATAACCCTTTGGAAACCAACCTGAGCCGAGTAGAAAGCTTCTTCCCATGATTTGCCCTTGAAGGTTAACACTGTATCATCAGCATATGCCACTATTTTTCCATTGTTCAAAACAAGTTCGCACATTTCATTGACGTACAACAAAAATAACGTAGGACCTAGGATGCTTCCTTGTGGGACGCCGTGCGTAATCTTAAGGCTTTTACTAGTAAATTTACCTACTCTGGTGCATTGAGTGCGATTGCTGAGGTAACTTTTAAAAAGTTTAAGTTGGTTTCCACGGATACCAAAACCTTCTAACTTAAGACACAATCTAGGAATATTAACCGTGTCGAAAGCCTTAGCTAGGTCGATGAAAATTGAAAGACATTTTTCTTTTTTATCAAGGGCTTCAACTATATGATTTGTTAGATCATGGACGGCGTCATCAGTAGATCTATTCTTGCGAAAACCATATTGCCTGTCTGATATCAGGTTATTAGTCTCTAGGTAACTTTTGAGTCTAGTGTTCATAATGTTCTCTAGGATCTTAGAAACAGCAGGCAGTATCGATATAGGCCTGTAATGTGCAACACTATTTCTTGCACCCGATTTGTGTATGGGATGTACTAAGGCTTTTTTTAATATGTCTGGAAACACTCCGGTTTTAATGCATAGATTCATAATGGTTGTAAGTGGTGGAACAAGTATCGTCTTATACTGTTTAAGTGCAAAAGCAGGAATCCCATCAGCTCCGACAGCACAATCAGATCTTAAGCCTTCAATTATTCGCTTTATTTCATGTTCATCAGTTTCCAGAAAAACAAATGAGTCACCCTTAGTTTTTAAAAGAGAACTGTTTATTCGGGTGTCATCGTAATTTGATGAAAACAGGGGTGACTCTGCTAGCTCTTTGCCAACGTTAACAAAATATTTATTTGTTTCATTGACAGACGTTTCCGGGCAATCTGTGATTGAAAGCAATTCATCAGCAGTTGATTTCTCTTTTGTTGTATGCGTAAATTCTTTAATGGCACCCCACAACTTTTTAGGATTTGTCTTAGCTTTAATTAGTTTATCTCTCTCATACTGTCTTTTAATATTCTTTAATAATGTGTTGCAGTAATTACGATATCTTTTGAATGTCATTTCTAAGATCTTTTTATCTCTAGACGTTTTAAGTTTTTTATACATACGGTCTCTGTTTCTCATGCACCGCAGCAATCCAGGAGTTATCCAGGGCTTTAAAATTCGTAGGCGATGTGGGACAGTTTTAGTGATGGTGCTTAAACAAACTGCAGTAGAGAGGCTGTTTATAAAATACTGACATGCTTCATTCGCATCAATACAATGATCGATATACGAGTAATCTATTTCTTTAATATGTTTGTCCAGTAAATTTTTGTCAATTTTTGTATGTATTTTTGAAGTATTTTCATTAAAACATATCTTACGAATGGATAACATAACGGCATTATGGTCGGTTACAGTAGAATCTATTACTAAGACCGTGCTTTCAAATTTAGTTTTTAATAGGACATGGTCTAAACATGCCTTGTTGTGTGTAGATATTGTATGAGCGGGTAATAATCCATGACTAGCCACCAGATCCAAATATTCCGAAGCGTTATGATTGCAGTTTTCTCCAGCTATATCTATATTTATGTCACCTATTACTACAATATTTGCAAATGCAGAGTTATCATTTAGAACACAGTCGAGATGTCTTAGAAATTTATTGATATCTCTATCACATGGTGATCTGTAAATAGCCACAATACACGTTTCTCTACCTATAGTTATTATCGTACAGTTACACTCAAAATAATCTGGTTCCATTACTTCAATATCTGAGATACTATTTTTAATATACACCACTATTCCATCGTTTTGATTTATTCTTTTAGTAGTTTGGAAGACATTATAACCCTCTAGAAGTGGTGTATTCGGATTACAGGATAACCAACACTCCGTCAGCACTAGAACATCTTGTTCCAAATTAATTCTTGATAATAAAGTTTCCAATCCAGACATGTTAGCTGAAATGCTACGAATATTTTGTGTTAATATTTTTAGACTCTTTATAGTTTTGTCAACAAACTTAATACACTCTTCTGGCTCACAGGCGTGAGAATTTGATACTTGGAGGCTATCTATGGAGCTTAAAGTTTCATATATAGGATTGAAGGTGACAGACTATCTTATATATGTTCGTTAGTGTGTGCTGCAATTTCAATTTAAAGTTTTCGTCATTAAAAGTGAATTGTGGATTTTCATGTTGTTTTATTTTGGCTTTTTTGGTACTTGTTGTATTTGGAGGGCAAATGTTTCTGTTTATTTGTATAGCGAAAATTTTGGTATGATGTATAGATTCGAAGTAGTAAAATTTATTTGTATGGATAGTTTTTTGAGTGTATATGTGCAACATTTGTATTTTCCTTTGTGATGTTATATTTAGGTATACGAGTGAGTAATTAGAAATATTTTGAAGAATAAACTTAATTTTAAAATATGAAACATTTTGAAGTATATATTTGCTTATTATGCTAAAAAACATGCAATAGTTATATAATATGTATTGTGAAACTAGTCATTTATTTCTTATTTTAATTAGATCAACCTCAGAGTTTATGTGGATGTAGTTTAAGGTTTTCGAGGAAAACTAATTTTTATTTTTCCCTAATAAGGTATATAATTGTTTTTTCTTCATCAAATTCACTTCAATCACACCATCATGATATATTTTCAAAGCTGATTTATTAATGTTTGATTGTCAGTAGTCTTATATGATTCTTTGTGATTTTGTTTGTAGAGAATAATAGGGAATTTGCGTCTGATAAAAAAAAATGTTTAGATATATTTTATTACAATCATTATTGCTTTATAATAAACTCTATGTAAATATTTTCTAACATTAGTTCGTTCATAATTATTTTCAAAGAGAAATTTTTGAAAATAATTATTAAAAAGTGCAAAAAAAAAATGTAAAATATTCAAACGAAATGCTACTTGTCAGAACGGATGTGACAAAAATATACAAAAAGTTAACATCGATGCAATAATTAAATGAATAAAACATAAATATTAAACAACATCACATACATTGTTCAGATTCCAAGATGTAGCTAAAACTCCCGTATTATGGAGTATCTGACACAACGAAGGTACCACAAAATTAAAATTATAATAAATGTATTATTAAAATGTGATATCTGTAGTTGTGTCCTTTGACGTCACGAGAAACGCGTCAAAAATACCGGCGTTTAAACTGCTCGCAGTTGTTACTTATTTTCACCAATTACGTGTATAATATTATATATAACATAACATTTTCAAAAATGTGCATACTCCCGTTTCTAAATAAATTAAAGCACAGATCTCTCAGATTACTGAGAGGTTAAATTTGTCGAATTCGACTGTTCATGATCATCGACCGGTGGAGATGAAAGAAAAAATATTTGTGTTAAAAAATGTAACCATATTATTTTATACGCGTCGATTCCAGAGCGCTGGTTAAAAGCTTAAGGTGCAGTTCCCCTGCACAGGACAGTATTAATTTAAATAAGTGTCGTTGTTGGTGCAGTGTGCGCGTGCGTGTCGTCGGCGCTGGTGTGGCGGCTGGCGCGCGCGCGGGCGGTGCCGCTGGCCGCGCTCAACGCGCTGGCCGCCATACTGCTGCTGCTCATGGCGCTGCAGCCCACACAACGAGAGCACCTCACGTTCAAGGTGATTCATACTTTTTTCATTTATTATATGCAAGTGCTAATACTTTTAACAAAACCTTTTTATGTCTGATTTACCACCAGTTACGTCTATATTAATAAAATTTACATCATTTGTATTTTTAATTTTGCAGAATCTGGTTAAAACTAACCTGTTTAATACAATTTATTTTCGCATGACTACAGTTTTACAAAAAGGCATTGCAACTCATAGTGCTGTCGATTTATGACCGTTCTAAACGAGTTTTCATATATTTTCCTCTTGTTTTCAGACTCCATTCGTCCCGGTCATTCCTTGTCTGAGTATTTACTTTAATATTCACCTGATGACATTCATCAACGTTCAAACTTGGATAAGAGTTCTTATTTGGATTTTAATCGGTAAGAGTTAAATTTCAGGTCTTGCAAAATATTTATTTGTTAAGCAATAAAAAGCCATTTTTGTGAAGACCTTTCACGAAATTCAACATTACCAATGATCGATATAAAAACTTACAGATTAATACTCTAAAATAAAAATTACTTTAATATGATCATAATTTAATGTCACTTCTAAGGTATGTAAGGAAGATGCCATGAGCAATGTATCTCACATTGCCTCTCAATACAGATCTTTGACTGAATTAACTAACTTGGTATTGCACTGTGAGCTTCTTTTAAACTAATTCAAAATATTTTTGATGGGTAATTATTATTTCTAGGTATACCGATTTACATAATTTGCGTTTGCTGCTATAAACGACAAAAGAATACTAACTTGGAACAAAATATCAAATCATTTTCGAACGCAACGAAAAATGGCAAACCAGCAATACAAATTATTGTAGAGTCTCCTACACCTCCAGATACTATGAATAGAAGTAGTGATATTGGAGGAGAGAACACTGATAATAGGGAAGTTGGGAAAACTGAAATAAATATAGAAATGAAAGAAAAAGCAGTTACTAATGATATTGTTCCTTATGAAACTGAAGAAGTAGTTGTGCAGCATGCAGCAGTGATAGAAAATAACGAAGAAAAAGAAGCAAAAATAATAGATTTGTTAGACAAAGTTCTACAAGATGAAGAAGATAGTTATAGTGAAATAATCAGTTGGAAAGATCCTAAAGAAGATGATTACGTTTCTACAAAGAATGAGGTTGGAATTCACAGAAAATCATTAAGTGAATTATCAGATACTGAATCGGATGCATCCTTAGGTAATAACATATTATCTAAATATGATGTAATAGCGCAAGTGCACAGAGAAGATTTACCTATAGTAACAGAGGAGAGATTAGATATGGGAGAAGGCAATGTGCTTGTCAATAACGATGAAATTGAAGAACAAGAAATAGTGACTGAAATTGATAATAGTGAAACTAATTCAGGAACGGGTGAATCTGGGTATTCAGATACTATTGACAAAACTGCACTTAACGATTCCATTGAAGATGTTCCAAATATTCCACCACCTCCACCGATGGATGAAAACTATTTTGCAAGTCCTTATTTTAAGAAATCATATACAGTTCCTAAACGACCGTCTAAAGTGAAGGTAGAATATCAAGAAGAGGAGAGTAAACCCAGGGAAAGCATTAAGTCGAATAGTTCTCTAGGCGAAGATAATTTAGTGTTTGGCAGCGACAGGCAAATAAATTTCTTATCAAAATTAAATGATATTTTTCAGAATAAAATGATAGCAGATGATGGCGATGAACTGAGAAAAAGATCACATTCAACGGGTAATGTAGTTGAAAATACTCCGTTTTCACCTCGTGAAATACCACCTATGTTTTCAGATTTAAAGAGAGAGATAATTTCAAGGGAAGCGACACAGAATTTGCGTCCTATAAACAAAGATGATAAAGTTAATACAGAAGTGAAAGAAGAAGAAGACGAAGAGGACCAAGATATAAGTTTGAGTAAAGAAGATTTAAAATCTAAATTAGAGAACATTTTTGCAATGGGCGGACCGCAGCTTTTAAAACCAAGATTAATGAAATCGAATCCGCCAACACCAGAAGAATCGTATCAAACAGATAATAATTCCAGTACAGAAAGTATACCTAAACTGCCCAAGTTGGACAAAAACGATACACTTAAGAGACAGAAAGCAAAATTTAGTGAAGTGTTGAGCTCTTTTCGATTAAGTTTAAATAAAGATGATGATGTGTGAACACTGTAGTGCAAAAACATTGGAAACTTATTTCGGGTATGTGTAACTAGTCTTTGTTAATTAAGGAGTATATTTATACTATATTGTTATAGCGTGAGAGCAACGCTAAGTTCTATATTAAATTTTTCATTAAGCAGTTATATTAAGTTCTTGGCGTTATGTATGTGGATTTTGTGAATCAATTCATTATTTTTATCAATCGATTGATTGATCGTAAGCATTTACTGCTTCATTCTATAAATTTGCATCAGATGAGGGTGTACCAATAAAATAATTTAGATATTACAAATAAATTTTTATTTAAAAAATAAGAATATTTAAAATATTAACCATTAACGAGTTTCGACTTTGTAAAGTTCCTGCACTACGTTTTGAAGTTGCATTTCCTTGGCGCATTGACTTAATAAATCGTCAATTAGTTGCTCGGAGATACTGAAAAGAAGATCGATGATTGTAGAATCATTTTTACTGTCATTAATTATTAATATTTTATTTGACTTCGATGAGTTAAACTAATCCAATAAGTTGATGGCAAATTCAGCATTTTAAAACAACTTAAACTGGATTGTATATTCTGTTTGATTGCACAAACAATTATGAATATCTGAAACTGCCATCAGTGTACAAATAATAATAATTTATACTTAGGTAACCTTTAAATAATCAATTACAGCTAATCTAGCAGTCCATATACTTATCTCTAATGATGATATGTTTTTAATAAAAAAACAAAAAAGTCTTGTCACTAACCTGCCAATGATTTCCCAGGGCTTACCAATCTCGCAGTTAGCATACATAGGACTAGCGAGCATGTGCTGCACAAACTTGGTGCGATACTGGAACAGTCGCTCAGCTGTCTGTTCGGGGATGTTTAATGCTAGTCTGAATCTATCCACGTTGTTTCCAGTCGAGGGCTTTTGGTATAGAGTTTTCGGAATTTTTTTCTGTATCGTCTCTTCGAGGATCTAAATATTTACAATAAGAATCAGTCATGTCATATATCTACAACAAGATTTCATACAGAAGGCTTTTTGTTTGAGTTCTTTGGTATTCGCAATACCTATACATTTAGTGTCAATTTTAATTCTATGTTATTAATTTACAAAATAAGATCTCATATAGAAGACTTTGTGATTGAGTTCGAAATTTTCACTCTTGGCAGAGTAATAGTGGTCATGTCTTTTTTAGTGTTAAAGGGGGACATAGCCCTCCTCACGATCGTTCGCTATCTCTTCCTATTTGCAGCTTGTCTGGCGCAGCCTGACATCTGGTTATCTACGGCGGATTTCACTTGATCAGTTCAGCGCATAGGTGATCTGCCACGCGATCTGGTTTACTCTACTTTTCCTTGCACGACCAGCCAGTCTATTGAGTTGTTATTACGTTTAGAGACATGGTCAAAGTATTGCAGTATGCGCGTCTGTACTACAGTGGAAAAACGCTTTGTGATGCCGAGTTCGTGGAGTATGGATATGTTGGTGCGAAACTTGTGTTATAGTAGTGTTATTATTTTCTATAAATATCTTTGTAATTTTACTCTAATAATGAAGCCAATTCTGTTATACTACCCTCAAAAATAAATTGATCTTACTTTAATTTGGGTTTGTTTTGTACCATAGCGTATGTAATCAGTAATCACACTAATATTTTGTAATATATTGTAATAAGATGACTTCTATTTTTTTCACAAAATGTGTTGATATTTTGTCCAGTTTGTACGAAATCATTGCTACCAATATCTTTTTCAGCTACTAAATTATTCGATAAAAAATTACTCTCAAATTTATAATGAATAAGTTAAGTTATAGAATCGTTATAGTAACTAAATTTAACAATGATAAAAGGTACCCTCAGTAACTGCGGTGTGCTGGGCTGCCGTGGGCTACCTCCCGAGATGCAGTGCAGTTGAGCGTTCTTCGCTCCAGACACACGTTCATATCTACTTCTAGACAGAATGTAATATTGTTAAATATAAATAAATAATCAAAGAAGTACGTAATAACTATAAATTATACATCATTTGTAGATAAATATTAAGTTGAGAAATATTATCGGAATATCTTTAGAATTGCTCTGGCAGCCAATTCTACTAAATAAATTTTGTTTAAATCGAATAGAAACCGAACAAAACTACAGTTTTTAATGGTTTTCCTATTCTACAAAATGACATACGATACAATTCCATTTCTATTTTAGCTGGAATTGTATCGTATGTCACTTAGTAGAATTGAAAAACCATTAAAAACTGTAGTTTCGTTCGGTTTCGATCCGTTTTCGATTCGATTTAAACAAAATTTATTTAGTAGAATTGGCCCCCTGAACTGCTCTTTCTCAAATCTACAGGTGATACGCAATTAAAATAAAGATCTAACCTTGGTATTTAAAAAATGTTACTGGAAAAAAAATAATTTCATACTATTAATACCATAATACACTATACTTTTGTCAAATGTTTTGGTCCCGAATATGAACGCATCAACAGACGACACTTGGTCTTTTTCTTTTCTTCCCTAAAGCCCTAAAAAATAATTATAAAATATAACAAGACGACTTTGAATATTTTGATAATTTTTTCACCTACATCATACGTGGATGACATCGGCTCTAATTAATCGGAAAAACAGCTAAATTCAACTTTTACATGAAAAAAATAATATCAGAAATACAAAACACTACTTCTGTTAAAAGTGTTCAATGTTCATACAAAATGATAATTTTCTATATAAAGAGTAACATAAAAACTAGTCACTCCCTCAGAAGCATTAATGTTTTTCATTATGATATGGAAACTTAATCCTTACTAATATTATAAATGTAAAAAAATTATTTCTGTTTGGCTGTTACGTTTTCATACTTTAACCGATGAAACGACTTTGAAGTAAATTAGTATGGAGAAAACGAGACACTGGGAAGGCGATTGGGTAGTTTCAATTTTTTTATATATCCCGTAAGGGATATATGAACAGAACGATAGTATGTAAGTTATCATTCATGGCGTAATATACTTATATAATAACTGGTTTTTTATGATTGTTAAGAATACATGTAAAATTATTAAAGCTAGTCGAAAAAAATAACATACAGACGAAATCGCAGGCAAAATCTAGTACATTATATAGTCATTAGCAAATTACTTGTTGGAGTTAACGTATCCAACACTGAACTTAATAACTTAATTAATTGCCATTTTTAGAGTTCGGTAGCTCAAAAGAAGAAAAAGGGTTACCCCCTCTATGATCACACGTCGCTGTCTGGTCGTCCATTCGACTAGTCGTACTCAACCTTTTTCTACATAGATCATAATTTGCGTTCTAGAATTGTAGTCGTAATGTTGCGGACGTAGAAAAATATATTACGTCTCAATAAAAGCGGTAATCCTAAGACAACGATGTCCATACTTTATTGATCTAATTTAACACAGATATTTAATACATAAATCAAAAATCACATAAAACATTTGTTATTTTTGACATTGTGTGCAGAGTTTTTGAAAATCAGTATCTGGCTGGCTAGAAATTTATAACTACAAATGGGTCAATTGTAAAGTGAAGTTGGATACACGAGACAATATTGAAATTGGGTAAATTAGTGAAAAGTAAATAAATTATCCGCTTTTAGTATAAATAAGCAAAAAATGTTTTGCCTATATTCTTTATTGGTTCATGCTTGTGGTGATAATTTTAAATCAAATATATTTTTATAACTTTATATAGAGAGTTTCACAGTAATTTATAAGTGTATTTTGTATGAAAATTGTACGGACCCGTCTATATTTGAGTTTGACTGACACTTGGTCAGTTTTTTATTTTAATATAGCCTTAGTTATGTCCCCTACATCATAACAGTCTACGTGGGGTGACGCCCTAGGGCGGGACGTCTAGACACATTTGACCTCTAACTGGGATGAAAATATCATAAGAATTCTTAACAATATCTGGGATATAATTATTAGGAAGCTGATTTCTTCAAAAATTAATGCTAAAAACCTTTTAGATAGATAGATACAGTATTTATTTGCATCACTTTACATGCCTTGATACAATATTAAATATAAGAAACAATTAAATCTTAATCTAAGAACTTAAATCTATAATCTTATTCTTGCGTGTGAGTTACAGCGATGCAAAAAGGCAAAAGTTCAGCGATATATTTGCTCCGAGAGAGCAAAACACTGATTTTCAATTCCTGCCTGAGGCATAAGACCCATGCAACAAAACCGGACAGATTCCTAAAAATATTAATTTTGACATTAATATTTTTAGGAATCGGTCCAAATTATACTGAAAATAATTGCGGTAAAATCTGGCACTAAGATAAAACTAAGGCATACCTCCTCACTCTTTATGCAGCAAAACTTATAATAAGCAAAATAATTTTTATAAATATTTATAACAAACAGGCCAAAAATAATCGAGATATTGGTGGAAATTCTCTTACTAACACCGTAAGAAACAATTACTTTGAAAGTTCGCCAGTCTTGTTGGTGTCTGGTAAATAAATGGAGCATTCGTCCAGTTGGCGAATGGTTGCGGAGGATTGTAAAAATAAAAAAATGTATTACTATTTCAAGCCTCCCCGAGGTACGTATGATACGTTAAATCATTGTTCCTTTTTGCATAAGCGGTTAATAACATCCTCCAATCCCCACTTGGCTTGTATAACCCATCCTCCTTACGCAATTTATACTAATATTAAAAATAGGTTTCTAACTATGTTTGTTTGTAGAGGGATATCTTCGAAAGCACTGAATCTATCATGAAAATTCTTTAACTTTCGGAAAGCTACATAATAAGCGGGTAATACAAGCTATAATTTACGCAGGCAAAGTAGCGGGAAAACGGTGGGTTCTATAGAAGAAATCTTGTGTTTTAATAATTATAACAGAAATACACCGATGATGATAACGGTGACTACCTACAATTTTTACAATCACATATCGTAACAACAGGTGAAGGGCTCAATGTAGTCTTGATATAGGTATGAACGAATGTCTTCTAGACATTACAATAAGGAAGAATCGTTTTCATGAAAAGTACTATAAAACTATTGATGCCTTGATGAGAGATGACATCAACTCACGCCGGACAAGGCCGTCTCAATTTAAAATGCATTCTACAAATAAACTGAGTCGATTATCTTTTAACTGGTTTACTTGTTTAAGCAAATGTTAATTTAAAAAATATTTAGTAATAGCCATAATAGTCAAGTTTTCACATAAACTATATGCACAGAGTATAAAATCTATCTACATAAAACGAAAGGTCAATCACTCATCACAAAAGTATGAGGAGTTTCAAATTTTGCATGGAGGTTGCAAGGATTTAGGTGTTAAGACAGGATTTTATGAAATTCGATTCGTAAGGGTATGGTTTTGGGATTGTTTATTTGTATGAAAGTTGGTAATGGATATCTTAATAAACGCGCAGACGAATAATTGTTAAAAACGGGATTGCTATTATGTACCTTACATTTTATGGGTTTCCGATATTTTAAGCAATCATTCTGATGACCATGAAAGTTTAAAACAACATACACGTAGACGAAGTCGCGTGAAACAACCATTCGAAGTCAAAATAATCTTTCTTCTTCTTAAAAGTACTTTTGAAACGACTTTTTTCCCTACCATTCGGTCAGGACGCCTTTTTGCTGATAAGAAGTACGACTAAGAAACTCACCAGCTCTAATGGGAGTAACGACTTTCACAAAACTATGTCACTACCAGTAATTTTAAAATTACTGATATAACACATTCTCGGAAAAAGCAAATCAAAATATTTGACAAAATCTAATGAGAAAATTGATTATTACGAGTGACATATTGCAGAAATAGCTAGCACGGAAAGAATCAGTAAGGAAATCTAAACGATACACTTACAAAAGGATGTAAGACACGGAAACATTCGTGACGATTGTTCAGACCAGCAATCGATGCGCTGGTCGTGTGACCTTGAACCAGCAGATAAGGAGGGAGGGTCTCACTGCAGACGACGCCGTACCTATACGAAGGGTGGCACGGGTATGGTGACTAAGTTTCTTTTCCGGACGAGGACATCGCCGAAAATTTCCTACATTATAGAGTTGCCAACTATCCTTTTTACCCTGGAACTGTACTAGTTTTTATAGTGTCCGAGGACGTCTTGGATTTTTAACCTACGTCCTGGGTTTCTAATCAATGTTAAGGGCGTACATTTTAAAATTATCGCGATGATTATATTAAAACGAAGAAAATGTTACTGCGTCCTGTTTTTGAATGAATTATTCTGGGTTTTTAACGTTACATCTTTCTTAGTTTTCGAAATTGGAGTTGCCAACCAAGAGTTTTAGATTCATCTGTGTGGCCTTGAAAACGTTAGTGAACTTCAACTGAAATACAATTAAGGCCACAGAAATACTTCGAAATTGAGAACAGGAGCTTTATGCGCACATATATGATTCATTCTTTCTTTTTTTTTTAATGTGTTATACATGTTAGCTATATCTGGAATGTTAGTTAAAGAATATTTGGGCTTTGGATATATATATATAGGAAAAATAATTTTAAGATATTCTAAAAATATTCCATCATTTGAATTGTCTGGGGAAACATTAACTAATAAATTTCTTCAACTTTAATCCATACGGTAGATAGATATAATATTTATTGCCGACACACTGTGCCGACACAGACGACAAAGAATAAGTAAACAAAATTGGGAATGTGTGTTTGTCCATGTTTTCAGTCGTAACAGAGTATCTTTATGGTATGATGCGGAGATAATTGTGTTGGGTTGGGAGGCTGACCCTCTAAAGCGTATTCCGGATTATACGACGCCATCCAACCTAAGTCTGACTTCATCACGTACGGGCAAGTACTAGTGGTTAGAGAACCCTATTTTGGGGTATAAAGTTAACTTAAACTGCGTTAAAATAAAATGTTGGGTGATTGGATAATAACACGGACTTTTTGATTACCGCATAAAAAGCTTATAATTATTTCAAAGATGCAGATAAAGATGCAGGTAACATCTAGTGTAAATATGATCCTCGGAGATAGTACCAGTGCAAGCATACGTGAAGAAAAATCTGCCATTTCGAGATTGTATTTGACTGTATTGGCCGCTGCATCGATGACTTCAGCAGACGTGATATCCACCTTTGGTGTAGAACAATAGGGAGGCCAAGTGTATATTATAGCGATTGCTTAATATTAGGTACGTGATGAAAATGATTTTATACCTACGTTTGATTGCTTATACAATTATGTATACAGTGATCAACAAGTGATGTGGGTAGAGAATTTCCTTTAGAGAAACTGTTGGATGTCTATATGAAGTATACGTCTTCAGCACCACATTTGACCGAATTGTCCAGGATTTAGAGCCGTAAACGAAAATTGCGAAGATAAGTGTTCTTATTTTTAACCGTTAACTATACTTATAGTGCTCCGTAGGTGAAATATTGCCGGATTGTACAAAGTTAATACATAAATATAATACTAGCTTTCCGTCAGCGGCTTCACCCTCGTGGTCCCTAAGGAACTGTTTACTTGGATATCGATTCATGTCTTGACACACATATAATTATTATGACAAATTAAATAGTAAATGGTGGTGACTATGGTAATATTTTAGTTCCCTATATAAACTTTCACTCCCATTTTCATCCCTTTATTTCCTGTTTTTCGGGATAAAATAAAGCCTATGTTCATCACATATGATTTAGCTTCCCGTAGGTGTTTTTTTTTAAAAATCAGTTCAGTAGTTTCGAAACTTATTCGTTGCAAACAAACAACCAATCAAATCATTCCTCTTTATAATATTAGTATAGATATAATATACATTGATGACGATACAGTGCGAAAGTTGAAGGATGATGAAATAGCGGAAGGTCAAGACTTTTTACGATCAAATCGATAGCGTGTTATTGGATGGTGATGCCAGAAGCTATAAAATCGAAAATAGTGATGTAAAGAAGATGCCAAAGAAGTGTGAAGAAACCATATCTTGTGGTGGTTACCACTTTACAAGGGATCCAGTGTGGAAATGATGATTATTTTTATTTTATTGCAATACATTTTGGTAATGACATAATTGATGTAAATGTCGTAACTTATGACAAGGAGCTGGTAAGATTCTTTCGCTTGTTCTTCTCGACAGCCAAAAGACGTCCTGAACGAGCAGTAAGAAAAAATTTTTTGGTTATACTTGCTTGTAATTTGAATAAAGATTCTTGTTTTTTAAGAAGTATAGATAGACAAATACCTAGCTGATTATTTTTACATGTCGCTTTGAAAATATAATGTTCTGTAAAGTGTTTCATACCCGAGTACTTATTCTGAATAACAAACAATTTAATCATAGGTCCGTTTAAGTCGTGACAATAACAGATTATTATATAAAGCCGATACTATGACAAGGCTTCATGAGTTCATAGAAATAATATCAATAGAGATAAAAATGTACCAATATAGATATATTTTTTTGGAATTTGACGATTTATCAAATGATAAGTGTTATGTGTTTAATTGTGTTCCATCAAGGAAGGCCACTGTGGCTAGGGACAGTATTTTGACCTCAAATTAAAAACCAATGTCAATGATTAGATATGACAAGATTGAACTGAAATATCACAAAATGCTTTAGTGAAAAATAGACATAAACATATTTGTTGCGATTTTACCAGAACTGGTGCATTTATAAATTATATCCATCATTACAAGGATTTCCTGGTTAGTAGAGAGAGCTCGATTACTTAAACCTTTTTCGGGCAATGACTGTCTTTGAGTTTACTAGTTTATTTTAATCCATTCTAAACATAATGTATAAAATAAATAAAATGAGTAATTAATGGCAATTAATCACAAAAACAAAATTTTAATGACGCTTTTTAGGTTAGCGGTCATGTCATATTCATATTGGTCTTATTTCTAAAATGTTATTACAAGTTAACCCTTAAGTAGGTTGGAAATTGAATTGACATCTACCTAAAGTAATTAACATCTTACTAAAACCATATTTATCTCATTAGCTTTTGCATATTTATTTCTTAAATAATTTTGTGATTGTTTGATGGCCCAACAACAATATTTTCCTACGTTTTCCAAAATTGGCACCAATTATTTGACGTTGGACCTTACAATTTTAGTAACGTCTGTCTAGCGGGACCAAAATCGGATATCGCTGATGCTGGAATAAATTGTCAGTTTTGCATAAGTCGATGAGCTGTTGCCTTTAATGAGAAAAGATACAATAGGTCTGTAGATACTCTTACTCTTAAAAAGTGTTAGGAGACCGAAAAGGAGAAATAAGAAATATATTTAATTACCACGATTAGATTACCTAAGTGTAGAATGGGGTCAAGTTGAAGGTTTACGTGGTCGCTTTGGGCACGTATGTGGCAACTACATTTCGAGTAATTTATCATTTTATCGATGGATTAAGTAGTTAAGATTATATATACGAAAAGGATATACGCCTTTAGTTGTTTACTCCGTTATTATTATGTAAAATAAAATAATATTATACAGTAAGTATTATTACACGATGAGTATAGTAAAAATCAAAATATTAATTTATAAACATAATAAGAATTCCATTATACAAAGGATGACCCTCATTGCGTAACATATGGTGGGAAGTTTGAATCACTATTAGTGCAAGTGACGTAACAAACAAACAAGTATTTTGAGATTTAGATTTACTATAAACGGAGAGTAAAAGAATCGTAAAGCTAGCGTGTAGAGTACGTTATTGAGTAGGAACCGTATTGGTATCGAACACAAATATCGAATGTTGGCACTTTCATGATCGATGGGTCGAGGAAACGCGCATTCTTGATACTCAGGGGCGCGTTCCTGCCGACTTCGTCTGATCTTTCCCCCGCATAAAGAGGTGGGAGCTCAATGTGGGGTTGGATCCAGAGTTCTCTTTGCAGGATCCTTGATTCTTCTTTGATTGCTTATAAAATTGAAGTAATATAATATTTACCATCTAATAATATAATTCACTCACCCTGTCGCATCACCGCCACACAGCTGCCGCACTATCCTTGTGACCTCACACCTGGCAGGACCAAGGTTCGAGGTCTGGAATCAAATAAAAATGACTTACAAATCTACAGCAGTGAATAAATAAATTACGGGTTCCTCATCTCATTCATCATCATATTTCCTAAAAGAGTCTAAAGGTTTTATTAAATCGAATCAAATAAATTATGCAGTCTTGACTGATAACAGGGAAAGTAGAAACACTAAATCTTCTGTTCAAAAATCTATGGCGGGACACTATCTAAGACACAGCAATGAGACGATTGTTGTCCGGCTGATTAGTTGTTGGATTTGAATCCCATCTAGGGCACCTGAGACAATTATAAAAGTATATATATAACTTATACTAACTAAAGCTTCTTCAATGCAAAAATATTTAAACATAAGGAATAACAACAAAAAGAAAATTGTATTTCTATAACAACAGTTCATGAGAACATTTTATAGGATTTGCCTAATAAACAACATAAAACAGACAGTGTCGTGAAAATTCTGTTTCTATATGATACCGCTTGATCCAGTCCAGGTAGACGTAATAAAAACAAGTCTATAGTGACCTTGAGAAGGTCGACATTGGCGGGCTGAGAGTCGGGGACGCCTCCCGAATTCCCTTAAACAATGCCCTATAGCCGGCGAATGCAATGATTACGTCACCGACGATAACACGAACGGTATTGCCAGCGTTGAATTTTAAATTACCCGAAAGAGTTAAAACAAATCATTTGATAAAAGACCTGTTGTATCCGATGCAATTTAAAGAGAAACTCGCAGTAAAGAGCTTATTAATTAATATATAAACACGAAAGCTTCAATTGTACGACACAGCACGATTTTAGTTAAGGTAGATGACTGACCCTTTTTGGCTGATATCAAGCCATTTAAAAGTCTATGTGTACGGTCTTTAAAATTTTTGGAATATGGCAAAAGTTGACAGTTATTTTGTGCCAAAATTTACTTTCACGCAACAAATAAAATGGCCAAGACCCAGTCATCTACTCTACGTGTCAATTACCTGATATACCTAAATAGATTTAAATTGCTTTAAACTCCAGAAAGATAATATTGTATTTTGTTACTTAAATCAAATAGAGAAGAAAAGCGGAATAATTACATAAATGAAACCTATTTTTGGATGACGCAATTATTCAAACTACTTCTATGAGCGTAAGTAAAATAAACTGTTGAAGTAAAATAAAAAATCAAGGAAAATCCATCAAAATATTTTATCGAATAGCAATTAGTACAGTACAGAGGTAATCCTAAACTGCTAAAGTTAGGCCATCACTCCCTCTGAAATTTTTTTTTTCTCACAAAATTTCCACAAAACACGGGAAAATTCTTAGGTGGGACATAACCGTTGGTAATATAGCGAATAGCCCGGTCTACAAGACTCCTGCCGGCAGTCGCCACATTGACATTGGACCGTGCGTACGCGTCGTCTCATACACGTCACCCAACACTCGAAACCATGGTAAGTGTTTATAAACTTAACTACGTCGGTAATTTTAGAAAATTAACCGCGATTCAGATGTTTACTATTTTTTTTTTAATTTGGAATAATCATTACAATTAGATATTACATAGTCCAAAGTTTTTGGAAGATCATCGAAAGCCGGGTTTAGTTTTTCGATTAATCATCACAGACATATCACGTGCCATTAATCACGAATTAGCCAAAGACTTTTAGTAAAGACATAGAAGTCTTTGGAAGTAACTTTTTACCTTTAAGAACTTCTTCATTCTTTTATTGTTATACTTTTGAAGGATATATATTTCTCTGGAAACATAAAAGTTGAGAATTTATATGTATTTGTCAGTAACTAACACATATTTTTAATCATACCAGAACCATCTTTTTTTAAATTACGTTAGAGCATTTTTTAGCGTAGTTTATATTTGAACATTATCGAAAAATCTATTATTCGTTTGATACACTCAAACATGTTGTAAATTTTGACAACAACAATATAAACTGGAAATAGCCACTCGTATATAAATAAACCGGCTAGTTACAAGAACAGTGTTAGTGTTAGCTGCCACCTGTTTGTGCAATTATTTTTAAAATCTGGCCTACTGATTAAGATTATTATCGATTGTCATCGGAAAGTGTAAGGTTTTCACAATCTTATCCCTTTGTCCAACTAAATACTAATACTATATATTAATGATGATGCGCTTTTATTTATAAAGGTACTCGTTTATTATATTTTTACGAACAATTATGAAATTAAACGTCTTTTAATCGGTTTTACCGCGTCTTATTTTGGAAATAATCGGTTTATGGCCAAAAATCTTGGTCTGTAAAGAGTTCGAAACGTCTGCGAAATGTATTTGATTATGGAAAAATTATAAGAATGCAATGATATTGATAGTCAAGGTACAATAGTTAGAAGGAAGTTGACTTTATAAAAATGTAGTAATGTCCTATATCCTAAAAAAACAAAAAATCTTAATTTTTTTTGATAGACATAAGTCCAAAGGAATTAAGAAAACTGTAAAAAGTCTTATTGAATTATTCACTTTCCGCAGAAATTTTAAGAGGGACGAATATACAGGAAAAAGCTAATAATGATGTAAAAAATAAATCAGACGACTTTTCTGAAAAATAACAAATGTCATTATATATTATACCGGTTTGAATCTATTGCAGACAAGAATCTAGGCTGCGGCCATTTTAAAATTAACTACTGCTGTATTACAAAGCAAAACATTGAAGATTTATATAAACATGCAGTCTGCCAAGACTCTGGAGAAGATATGACAAAAATTAATTCAAGCAAATTTCATTCTTTCAATAATGAAACAGGTTAAATAAGATAAACTTGTCAATAACAAGTCGAATTTCTGAAAAATCTAAATAGATTATAGACTAGACTTCAGAATAATACTGTTATATACATTTCAAATGTACTATAATAGTATTCTAAATATTAAAATACATAGGCTATAAATTTACGCGGGTGAAGACGCGGGAAAACGGGTAGTATTCAATGAAACGCTTTTAAAATACCAGTTATGTTGATTTTTGAAAGAGAGGTTATAATATATGCTCAGATAGTCTTTGGTTGCGTTCATGTCATTCCGCCAAAAAGGCTTAAATGAGATTTTTTTATGAAAAGATTTTCTTTATCTATATCGAGCAGATCGCGTGGGTTTGTATCATGTGAAGCATATCCTTTATTGAGGATATCTCGACATTACTTTGCCATAACAGTTATAAAGTAATATTACATAAAAAAAAGACATCGCTATGATCAGCTTCATGGATTAGCGACAAGTCAGCTGTCATATGGACCTCCTATTAGTGCAGTGCCTACGCAAAAAATGTCATTTAAGCAATAATACGAACAATTTCTATACCCACCATTGCCGAAAGGAATCGCCTAATTAAGACTGAAGGTAAAAAATGAGTAAGCAAATATTATAGACTTAAGTTTTTTAAGTCAATTGTGATCGTTATTTATTTGTTGCTAACTGACATGTTATAGATTTTAGAGTTATTTGGAGTTCTTATTTAAGCCTAAACTAAAATTTTCTTTATTTAAATTTGGTAGTTTTTCCCTACCATCAAAATCTGTGCCGCTTCGGATCTGTGTTGACAGAATGCAAGCTTTCTATGTTGATAAAGAACATGACGAAAATAAAGAAGCGTCGTGTAATAGTCAAGGTTGAATGTTCTTTTATATACTCCTGAAAAATTCATAAAACTAGATGACCCAGTGTACTTCGCTCCACACCGAATGATTGTTGATACATTTAGAAATATTGATTGTTTCATAAGCATTTCAAATATTATTACTCCTCTATCTCTCTCCATTTTTTCGGTATTCATCTGACAATAGTCAGATTTAAATTAACTGCACTGCGGGACCGAGTAATCGTTTCTCTTTTTTTACTTTTAATTTTAAAATTATCTCTAATAAGATGAGCATCGTGTTGATGTATGTTTTCTTTTTATTTTGGTCTCGAATGATACATTTCCGCCATTAATAAAAGAGAGACCGTGAAATGTAACAGTTCAGGGTGAGTCGCTTGAGTGCATAACATTACTAGATATACTAGAGCGCGTTTATGGGTCAATCACGTTGGTCGGTGGGATCCGCATACAGAGTACGGGTGGTTTTTGAAGATCATTTTTTTTTATTGCTTATTGGTTTACGACAAAATGTAATATGCCCGCAAACTCCACAGACTAATGTAAATGTTTTATTTTTTAATTATTAAAATACTAATGAACACGGTGTATAAAACTAGAGATCAATATATAAAACTGAGCAAAATAACACAAGTGCCTGAATTGAGAAATTCCTGAATCACAGGCAGAGAAAAAGACTTACTTGGCTAACATTAAACTATCACTATAAAAATGACGAATAAAGATCTAAATTAAGTTTACATTTATAAAATGCAATTTATAAATATAAACTTAATTTAGAGCTACATATCTACTTATTTATTAACAATAGTCTCTCCGTATCTTCGTACGATAATATTTGAAGGGTTTCGTGAATTTTTTATTACAAATGCTGTAATTAAAGTGATATATGCTTAGCTTGACATTCATTTTGTTATGAAGAAGAGGAAAAAGGAAAACAAAGAATCTGAAGGAGGAGCAATTTTTTGTTTGAGTATTATGAGGGCAATCTATAACCTTCTTTCTTTTATTAATAATGGTTTTAAAGCTGAATGGAAGTATAATGTGCTGTTTAAGAGTTGTGCTCGTTATATGTAAATAAGCTTTTAGGCATATTCAATAATTTTAATTCCTAAACTTACATGGAAAAGATATAAGAATGTAAAAATTAGCTGCTTCTCGTACAAATTGTAAATCGACTCGGAGAATCTTGCATTGTCCTTGGCTAGCAACTTATAACTAATGGAGGCAAAGCAAGAGATTTATATAAACTCGATATATATTGGTTCATTTAATCTTTCAACCGGGATTTCTTTGCCTGAACCAACACAACTTTTTTTTCATTACTTTTCATTACGAATGCATTAATTTCATTCATTCTCGTAGCAAGTTTCTATTTCTAAAAGTCTGTGGAGATAATTATTATTATTATAATAAAATTAAAATAAAATTATTGTAATTATTATTTATGTAATTGAAAATACCACCGCTGTTTAATAAACATACCAACGGCGCCGACTATTAAATAGACAACAGAGTGATTTGCAACGAACAACGCCTACCGTCTACAGATTGTCTATGATCAATCGCCAATTGTACATATTTGGTTATCCGCTATTACAATCATATTTACATAATCGATGTAAAAGGCAACTAAGTACCACGTATTACATGAATAAGGTAATATTTATGTCGGTAGTGGTTTTATAGTTACTATTTTACTAGTTTCTGATCACATATAAGTCACAAACTTAGAGATATCAAACTTTAGAGTTTAGGTAAATTCGCAAATTGATTTAAATGGAGTAGTGTGTTTCTTGTTGCTTAATGTGATGACTACTAGAATAAAGTCAGAAGTATGATTCAAGCATTATTCTGGTTCTATCCGACTCAGTTATCGATAGCACATGTTCAATATTAGTGTCACATTGCTGGTGTATATTTTGATGACACGCTACTTATTTCATTTGCCATAGGAACATACAAGTATTACGTGCAATGTATTACTTTATTGTTGGTATACGTACATTCTCTAGCACAAATATTGACTATATTTTTACCTATTTCATCATCAACAGCCTATAATTGTCCCCGGTGCTGGGGCTCAGTCCTTCCCTATGGATGGCATCGATTAGGGAGAATGGGCCATGACGTACAATGCGAGGCCAGTGCGAATTGATGGATGTTAACTGCAAATGCACTGAGGAGCTCGAGATAATAAATGTTTGACCACCCATCCTATGACCGATCCTTGCGAAAGTAGATTAACAGCCGCATCGCAGCCCGAGCGCGCCAACCGCAGCGCCAACGAGCTCCTCAAAATCTCAGGCTCTGATGCCCGAAATACGTGACGATATGGATGTATATAAGGTTTCCAATATATAGTAAAACTTTTTATGCCATAATTTTACTAGGCAAAACAGCATGGCATTAACTTAATTTCGCAGTTAAAGTTTGTTTTAAATTTATATAGCATACAATCCAATTGGAAACTTGCAGTTTTGGTAGTCAGAAATTCAGAATAAATAAGGTAGCTGCACCGGCATTTCAATTTCAAAATAGATCTAGAATTTGTGAAGTAAAAAATTTTTTATGATTCTCTCCGTAGATAAAAGCGAAAGGTGTAAAATATTAGTAGAATATACATAAGTACCCGAGAATATAATATAAAGATTTTCTATCGTATCGTAAACCATACTGAAATTCGCTTTATGATTATATAATGGTATTTAGTATATGATGGATGATCCACGTATTACAGATACAGATAAATGTAACATAAATTGATGACATTTCAATTGGAATAAATGTTTTTAACCTCGATAAAAATATTTTAGAAGCATATCAATATTACGTAATTAAGTTTAATAAAGAATGTGAAGTTAATTAATACCAACACCGTCATTAGATTATTTTAAATTTAATCTACCTATTTTTATACAGTGTAACATTAGATTATGCAGTGTAACATCGCGATCGCGTGGTGAAGTCTCGACATTTGTCCAGGATCATGGCTACACTGCCACGGCCACAAGGCCCTTCTAACGTCTTTCTATGTTCTGTGGATTATACGTAGCCGTCCTTGCATCCGTGTGTCAGATTAAAA